TTGCACAACTGTCCAGAGCAGCGCGTTCTGCCCACGCTACGCACAGTTACCCGTTACGTAATACATTTAAAATGACATCGAATCCTAAGAAACAAAATAGAATCGTTCTCCTACATTATGACACAACACCCATGGAATACTTTACCTGCTGGCATTTTTCAAGGTCTTGAACAGCTTGTGATAGTAGAGCATCACTTGTGTCAAATACTCTACTTCCGTTTCATCGAATCTTAAGTCACAACGATACTCAAGAAGTATTCACCTTTGAGGTGAATACTTCTTGAGTATCTAACTATGATTTTTTTAATGTTTTTCTTATTAAAATAAATAAATATTTCCAACACTCACACCAAAGTAAGCACTGTAAGGCTTGTGTTATGGGATACTAGGGTAACGGATAGAATACATACACTGTACACATATAAGTATATTTATATAGAAATACATATTAAACATCCATGGCTGGAGTACAAATACTCGCATTCATCACACAAACATCTGCCCCCACCGGGATTCGAACCCGGGACAAACCACTCCGCCACGTAGGTCGTTGTTTATTTAAAGTTGCATCTTTTTATCTATAAGTCTCAGCATTATTGGGTCATTAAATTCCTGAGAACTGCTTGTTACACAGATTTCACTGGGAAAACAATATAGCATCGTATTGTAAAAGTTCGTCGTCGTGACATTATTTTCCCGTGTCATAAGTCATACGGTAAAATGGAGACAATCACTCTTTATGCAAATAGCTGACTGACTCATTAAAATCACACTCAATTTTACTATTGTTAATAAAACTACGGTTTTAGTGAAATCGTTCATCATAATCATCGGTCTAATAAACCCACCATTGTTAGGGCAATATCCCTTTTAAAGTGAGATAACGCACAGCGAGTTTTGAATTGTCTCTAATGTCTTGCTACTTTAAAAAATGTTGCAGCTCTTCAAAACAATGAAACATAAGTCTAAATACTTTTCTGATTGGTACTAGCGAACAGGCAAAGTCATTTATTATTGTACACATAATTGGGGCCAGGGAGTGTCCGAGAGACGTATTTAATTTGGTCGACTAGCCACTCTGTATATACAGTCGGAACACAAAACGGCGCGGCGGCGCGGCGGCGCGACGGCGCGACGGCGCGGCGCGTGCAAGTCAGCTCACGATCAAATAGTAAGTTCAAGCGCAAACGCAGCAGCGATATTCTCAAAATGAACATCGTTGATTACAACGCTGTGGTAACATCATTGAAATCCAGTGTATTTCAATCATCCAACTTTTTAAAACCAACAACAAAAGTGTAGTAAAAATATTCGCCCCATTATGATTAAGCAACGTCACTTTTTTAGGAGTACTTATAGCGTAGCGTAGATTTCTGTTTAATAAATTATAACCTATAGCTACCACAAGAGTCGAGCTTAGTGTCGATTTATATTAAAGAATAGTACCTACCAGTCGCTCTTTGCAAGCTTCAACTGCGTTGGGCCGCTATGACCTCTGCTCTCGCTTTGTTGACTCGGAAAACTTGGACTTGGTTAAATGCAATAATCACACCAGCGATCCGAATGATGGGTATTATGGATTTTCCATAGCAATTATTGATTTAATTTTTCTTCAAATAGTTTTACAAAATTATTAAAAAAGAGCAATTTTAAAAAGTCCTTTGAAGATTATTCTTGTTACCTATTTCATATCTATTGGTAATATTATAATAAATAATAATAAATAAATCTTTATTGTGTATGGAACAAGGTAACATGAAAATACAGGTCTTGATGCTAATGTACAGTGCCATTTGATGCTACCTTTTTAGGTGTATACACATTTATATTGTACGTACAGGAACCATTTGAATATTCCTACTTATATTCTAAATACTCTTGGATACTACAAAATCATTTTTGGCTAAGCCAATCCTTTAGTATTTTTTTTAATTTAAAAAGGTTTAGTTCTTTGGACATGCCTGGTAATTTATTGTAAATTTTAATGCACATAATAAAAGTGTTTTTAGCTGCTAAAGACAATTTTATTAGCAGGCCTATGGAGCTTATTTTATAAACAGCGTAAATTTCGTTAGTTATTTATTATCGTCATTAGTTATTTGATGATTCTCTTTAAAAAGATACTTATGTTGGTGTACAAATGTACATATATCAAGAATATACAGGCAAGGCAAAGTCAACAGCTTATAGTTTCTAAAGTAAGGTCGACAGAAATCAATTTGATTCATACCAAAAATAGCACGAATACATTTTTTTGTATTAAAAATGCTTTATTTCCATGAACAGAATTACCCCAAATTAAAACTTCATAGCGTAAGGTAGAATATATATAGCCATTGTAAGCTGTAATAGCAGCATTTTGTGATACAATTTGACTTATTCTTGCAAGTGCAAATACATGTGAATGTTTCTGTACATCATCGTAAAACTTTTCATTAAAGAATTCCACTTTATGATTAAATATAGGTACACCGCATACGTATGTTGGAGTAACTACAATAATGTTAGTGTGAAGAATCCTTGCAGTAATATTTCGTATTTCTTGAGAGAGCTTGTCATAATTTTCTTGCTGATAAAATTCTCTCCCAACAAGATGACACAGTAGTCTCTAAAATCAAAGCTATTTAATTTTGAATCCTACAAGTAGTTGTAGTGCTCCTGCTCCTTTTTTTATAAAATGACAATAATCAAATATTCTGCTTATATCACTGTTTTCTACAATATTCAATATGCCATTCGTAGTACTACTTGATATAATACATAATTTCTGTTTCAATTTTATATTATTGTTTGTAGTTGCAGCATTATTTATTTTAGGTATTTTATTAATATTTAATTCTATTCTTAATACGTCCATCGATCTTTCCAATTCTTTCATTTCGACTTGAGATTCTTCTAATATATATTTTAATTTATTAAACTGCATTTCAAAATTGTTAAAGCGGTTTCTACTGTCATTAGAGACTGCAAGACTTGCTATATGTATTATTATTTGGATTACATGTTATTTCTCTGATATGTACAGATAAAACTTGCGAATTTTGGAGAGAGAAACGCAGTTTTTGTTGTGACTCATTATAGCACTGATTTTCTTTAGAAACTTGTACATATTTTTTATGTGAAGTAATAATTTATTTTTAAATCCATACCTAGTGACCTCATTACACATTACATCATTTGATCAAGGAAGTTTCAACAATATTAATTAAATTTTGTGCATAATAAATTGACCTTAAAGATCTGGAAAATTATTCAGAATATCTTAGCAAACCAATTTAAGTTTAAATTAAATTAAAGTTTAACACTATTCTCTTGTAACTTTTTTCCTTTGCCTTTTTCAAAAGCGCGATGAATCGTCGAAACAAAACGATCGCGCGTGCTTGAGGGGCATCGACCTCTGGGAACATTTCCCACCGAAGAGAACCATAGACAAAGACAATGTCACTCGGGTGCAAGACGTTCGAAGCAACAACTTAAAAACTTGTGGGTGCTGTTTTTTTCCTGTAAAAGTCTAGATTTGGCTTAACAGTTACAAAAAAGGATTAACACAGTTACAACAATTATATAACAAAAAACTTTAGTTCAGGCTTTCTCGCAGAAAAATTTCTAAACGCCGTTCAAGTAAACCTAGGTATAAAAGAAAAAAAATGACAAAACGTCAATTTTACATTATTGTATGGGATCTAGTTTTAGTTAAATTAAGATTTAGCAAAATGCTGCAATTAGACCTCAGTGAAAACCCTAAGCAACTGTAGTGTCAGGTACTGTGTACCTATTGATATGAGACCCAGTCAAGTCCACAGAGTATCTCCATGTAGGATTGCTCTTTGATTGAGTATCATTATTATCAATGTTATACTTGCGCGTATATAACATAGAAAAAAGTTGCGCGCGTTGCAGGGGTACAAGAATACATCTTTTTAGTGCGAAACGAGCATCAAAACATCGGTAAAGCATTTAAGGAGATTTGCGATGTATTAGGAAATACATGTAAATTTCAGGGGCGTTCATTATTAATACAAATATGATCGAATACAAAATGATAAATCGATTTGGCAAACTTATATGAAAACTGTATTATTTCCCTAGTATACACTATTTGATATCGTTATCATTAACACCACTATGAATGCTATATTAAATCTGTATCAAAAAAATGCAAAACAAACAATCCATTTCACGATAAGTATTCTGTCAGGAATATACCGTTCATATTTAAATTCTTCTCAACTCAAAGTAAAACGTGAGTAAAACTATCTTGTGCTAATATTTTTTTTTATAATAATTCAAACTCATCGACACTTTATCTTATCTTAAATATAGTGCCTTAAGATATTTTTTATATATTTTGCAAGTGTTACACAACTAAAATCATCACGAATGTTTAAAATGAAACAGACTTTAATCGTTTCCCAATCACATCCTTTCGGACGTAGTAAAAATGTAATCATAACATCTTGGGTGCTTATCTAAAGCGAGAATCAACGTTGTCGCACTAAAACAAAGACAGAAGTTTATGTTCGAGCTATGATTCAATTCATATCATTCATAACGAATGCAAATAAAAGTTATTACTATTTTTTTTAACTTTATCTAATTTCGGCGCACAGCAGGAACTGTTCGCATCTTTTTATTATTAGAATGGCTCTATCTTTATATATATCGTTCATAAATTGGGTATACTGCGCTCACTCCACTATGATTCTGACGAAGCTAAGACCACGTGTGTTTGCGTTAGCAGCCTCAGTCGTCCGCTATCTGTGTATCCGCACAACACTACACACAATAAAAAAAACATACCAAACCATTTACAATAAACAAAAGAAGTTTTTAAAGCTGTATATAAAAATAAATAATTCTAATTTTAGATTTAAAAACAAGCCGGCTTTGCGTTCGAAATTGAAACTTTGAAAGTGCATTATTCCAATTTGTTTCCATTAGGTTTGGATTTGTGATGATTTCTTTTCTGTGATCAATTGCTAGTTACTAATTGAATAGAAATGATCGAGTTGGTGAAAGTGAGTGATAATCAAAAGGTGGTTGGCACAATGCGGGATATAGGGGCGGACTCGTTCGTGTGCCGTGTGCAGTACCTTAACGATTTGGATCCTTTCTCGGAATACAACGTGAGAGAGCCCTCGAGGCCCCTGTACCATACGTTCAACACCACTATACCACTGTCGTATCAAATTGCAGCGGTACACCGGTTGCTGCAAGCACCTCATAGGGTAAGTGTTAGAATAATGGCTTTTTCCTTATCTGGACAGGTTATATAAAATAAAAGTATTGCTTTTGATTCTCAAGCAGCATTTTGAAGGTACAGGTAGGAAATACAACATTATAGTACTTTACATATTTACACGACTTTTGTAGAGCTCTATTTACCTTATTTGGTACAGTAAAGTCTCCGAAGCTCATAATCTTGCCATTTTATAACACGAGTATAAGTACTAATACTTTAATTTTAATCAAATTGTGATAATCTATCATCACACGTATGGCATGAGTTGAGATACTTTGTTCGTAAAACAATAAATATTTAGAATATGTTAAGAGCCCTTTTACAAAATTGCGCCGCTGCCGTACTGATCGGCGCACAGGTAGATTTGTACTAGTATATATTGCATTTTTACGGTCTAGTACCCATTGGACCCTCAAGATTCGACCCAAATGCAAAAAGTGCCCATTGGACCTCTTTTTTGGTCCATTGGACCTTCTTAAAACATTTTATATTCAATGTGCCCATTGGACCTCATTTTTGGTGCCCATTGGACCTCCTTAAAAAAATTATATTCAATGTGCCCATTGGACCTCTTTTTAAGTGCTCATTGGACCTTCAAGATTATACCCTACTGCCAGTTGGACCTTATTAACAGTTTTGTTAAGCACAGTACAGTCATGTAGAAAATTGTAGACAAAAATAAAATTAATAGTAGGTATTATAAAGCCACTAACTAAATACTGTATAAGTACTGACTCCAAACAGTAAGTAGTCCAAAATAAATTATAAAGAAGTCAGGTTACCTTTTTTCTTCGAATTAACGATATTTCACCGTCCCCGGAGAATAAAAAGATAACTATAAGTATAAAAATGTAAGTTTTCAGGAAAAATAAAATAACTGTTTTGTTGTCTATTGCTCTATAAATACTGGACGCAGACAGATGATAATTTTTAACACATTTGGATTTTTTAGTAAGGTACTCGTACAATAAGATATAAGAGAGATATTTAGAAAATAAAAAGTGAATCAAAAGTAATCAAAATTTAATTTGTTTAATGTTTATTTTTATTTTATTCGTATTGACAAGGAGCCAAAACCAAATATTGCACTACTGACATGTATTTTTATTCTATGGTTTATAAGGGTGCAAGTGACAATGATAATACTTCAATATCTTTTTATTTTCGTAAATATTGTAAAACCTTTTTTTCTTTAAAGGACATTATATATGTTTGTGCTTTAGGTTTAAAGGAATGATCATTAATTATATTAATTTTAAATTTAATTACATTAATGATCACTAATGTAAAAAGGTTTCACTCAATAAGGCGATTGTACACTGACCAATAAATACCCTTACAGCGCAACACCAAATCCACAAGACCTTTCAAATCGAACAAAGTTCGATTGATTCAAAGTTCCTTAAAACAGCGTGGATCTAGACAATCTAAGCAACATGACAGTGGATTTTGCAAAGACTTCATCTTTTGATCTAAGACTGAAATTCTGAGGGAGATTGAATGTTTTTATCGGCAGTTATACTCCTCTTAAGCACCTGATGCAAGGAAGGTTATAGATTCCAAGCCCAAGATCTCTGCGCTTAAACAAAAGGATGGCGCCGATCTCATATGTGGAAGAGAGAGAGAAATATTGCTGTCTCGTTCCGATTTATGACATATGTTGCAGCTAGAAAATAATCTTACAACCGTAGGCCATTGCTTAGAAAAATTACTCACATATGTGTCTTAAATATTTAATTTGGTAATTTATAATGTTTTACAAAAGAAGACTGTTAAGGTTGGTAGTGGGTCTTTCGGCAGACTCCAAGTTTTTATGAGATGCAGCGCACTCAATTGTGAATTGTTTGACAAAAAACTAGAACTTTATTTTATCCCGGTTTTTTATATTAAAATAACATAAATCTATCTAATAATTGAATTGCAAATGGCAAGTTTATTTGTCTATTTTTTGTTGTCAAGCATCAAATATATTATGTTCAATGTGTAACAAAAGCAGTGATAATAATTCTGATAATAATCCATGACTGGACTGATTGACATTTGCCATAGTGATTGAGTTAACGTTATAAGCCACCACGCACTAAAAATATGACGTTACTAAGATAGGGTGGCCAGCATACTTACAGAATTGTTTAATTATTAAACACGATTTTAAATTAATCGGTAATGAATAAAAAAATCAAAGTATCTATTCGTGTTATACAAACTTTCAAATTATATATATTTCGTTCCTGCCGGAAACCGATTACCGTTAATTTATATAAGCTATTTAGTTAAAAAATAATTTCTATTGGCTTTAAAAGTAAAGTAAAAAATCTGTGATTTGATTATTATATTTTATGTAAATATTTATATTGGTTTGTTACTGATGATTAGTGTTTTGAATTTTATAAATATGTTGATTAAATACTTAGATTTTAACCTTTGTGTTTTTATGTCTTTTACAATTTTACTTTCCTACACAACTGTACTTTACCGTTCCAAAAGAATTAGCCAAATAGTTAAGAGCTCCAATAGCTCCCATTGTGTCGTTAAGTACGTCTTTGAGGGTCCAATGGGCACCATGTTCTTGATAGGAGGTCGAACGGGCACTTTTTTGTAGGTAAGGTCCAATTAGGAGGGTCCAATGGGTACTAGACCCACATTTTACGGGTGATGTTTCGAGTCTTATAAATGAACTAATTAAAAAAATATAAACATATTTAAGTAGTTCAATGATGGTAGATTAGTATATGAAAATTTTTGATAGTAATTCTATTCAATTCAATATTAAAATACGAAGTAAACCTGCATAATTTTTTGGGAAAACGCACGGAGGTTAGATCTTTTTTCGATAATTAATGAGATGGAAAATCAAGTCGTAGTAATTAATTTGATCTAATTTATTGAACATTATTGAGAGGTTGGGGCGTTTGATGTTGTGCATATTATCGTTATTTCCGCAAAATAGCTGCAGTAGAACGGTCAGTCCAAAAAACGCAAAATAGTATTTGCAAATATTCTACATTAACTTACAATAGGAAGAATAAATCTAGTGTTAGATCCTATTGGAAATAGTCAAAATCTTTTCTAAGGGGGTAAACGAGGCGCTCAAAAAATATTTTTAGGGCTCTTAATAAATAAATAAGTTTATTCAAATATAGGTCACATTACATTACATTTACAATAATCAAAGGTTCCTCCGACCTATCGCTGATAAGTCTCAGAATTTCTCCTATCCGTTGATAACTAGTTGCCAGCTACAACGGTACCCTTAGTACGAGTTGAGCTCACGTTAAATATCATAGTTTTCGTAATTGTAAATTATGTTACTATGTCCATTTTGGTGAAAAGTAACCAAATATACTTAAAATTTGTGTCTTACAAATGATTTAATGATAGAATTTAAACACTGTTTATTTGTATTGAAACGAAAACAATAAAATTAGTACCCTCAGTACGAGTGCGACCTCACGAAAACTATCATACTTTCCGTAATTGTAAAACTTGTACTAAGGGTACGGGTCTCTTATTTGGTCTCAGTCCAGCGTGGGAAACTGAAAAAACAAATTTGATATGAATATCCACACTGGGTCTTTGGGTCATTACCCATTGTCCCTATCTTTCTTGTAATAGACCTAGTACTGCTGTTTTCTCAATGGAAAAGATGATGATATTGATTGTATTGATGATATTGTACTACGACTGTATACTCCACCGACCCCCTTCTTCTTTCCGCCGACACCCACAATGGATATCGGGAAACTATAGCTAGTATTGTATCTACGAAGACTGAATAAATATTTCAATAAAAACCAGATGTCCAAATGTTAGGTTTCAATTTATCAATTCGATATTACATGGTCCATGTAGTTATACATTTTCCGGTGAAATCTGCTCTATGCGTTGAATCAGCACACAGTGTAGCGACAAGATATACAAATACCAAATTAATAAAAAAAGTAAAAAGTAAAAGTAAGTCTAAAGTAATTCCTATAGTTTTTAGTTTATTGAGTAGAAAACAGTAAAAGAAGACAATAATATCCTTAACACATTTCACGGACTTTGCATTAATACCATCAATACCTAAACTACTATTTTAAGGTCATCTATTATTTTGCTTACTTCTCGGTGGTAGTCAATACCAAATACATTATCTAATTGTCTGATGTAATATTTTTGTTTATACATCATTATTTTCGGCTAAATGTACCTTGTCGAGTTTATTTATCTACAAAGCTTATCTTATATCCTAATCCTAAATAATCAGTATAGAACAATTATAGTCTTAGATAGGTAATTGATTGAGATGGTTATTATTTTAAGTATTTAAATTTCTACATTGTCAATATGGACAAAATAATTTAAACAGGTTGTGGTTATAATTTAAAACGTAAGTATACATACAATATCAAAATGTTTAACTTGAAATTCTAAAAATCTGAAGCACAGAGCTATAAATAAATATACAAAAGTTAAACAAATCACAAATCAGAGATTTGTTTAACACATGCAGTAATTATACCTATTTATGTCCGTTTCCGAAAACAAGACATTCTCAAAGTTTCCGCTAAATTTAGTGATGCGGGTATGAATGTAATCCGGTACATAGTAAACTGGCTGTTAATATTTGCGTGTTGGGTACTCTCGCGGTATTTGGCTAAAATTATCCGTTCTAAATATCATAGCTCGGCTCAGGTGTGCGTACTGACAATAATATAATTTTAAATACCTTTATAACCGGCTTGCCGGCACGCGATGACACTCAATTCTGATGCACTCCACATCCCTCTGCAGCTGAAGGACAAATATGCCGAAATAGCAAAATCGCAGATTAGCAGTAGGACAGATTTTCATATAGGCAGATATTGTACTGTCGTATTATGCATTTTTATATTTCATTGACAACGTAAATAAAAGTTTTACCTGCTGAATGTTAACAAGATAACTTATAAAGGATTGAAAGATCTTGAAGAAAGCTGTTTTTTTTTATACTTAATTTATATT